CGAAAAATTATATAATATATTTAAAGTACTGTACAGACAGTGCTTTTTGTAATATTTAGCACGTAGAATAATTTTCTGACAGAATTCTATTTCTTTTTAAATTACTTAAATTACTTAAATTCCGTCCATTGCTTTTATTCTTGTTTCTTGTTAAAATTTAAATTCTACATCCTTTGAATATCAATTTGTACAGAACTACACAGTATACTCATATAATCAAACCTTTCTACTCCGGAATGGTTTTTCTTACTTTTCCTCGCAACAGTTTCACGATGATAGATAATTATATAATTTTATTAGACGTCTAAGATTGACGATTGACGATGACGAGGAAACATGGAAATTTCGCGTACACGTGTATGTCGAGCGAACCTCGAGAGTTTAATCGGAACCGGAGATCGGGAGATCGGAGACCAGAGATCACCCGTCGAATTCGATTCGATTCGATTCGATTCGATCTAATCGTGCTACTTTCCGAGTGGCGGATTCCACGAAAAAAAACTCATTGGTCTGAGGACGATAGCAGACGATTAACGAAGCGCAAGAGCAGACGAGTTAACTCGATTGGCCAGTTAAAAATAGACACGGATCCGTGACATGTGTTTTTATAAATTGCTGCAGGCGGACGCTCGTATCAAAGCACGCGCTTCCTCGTCGCTTCTTCCATAAATAAATAATCATCGATCGTGGATTTCTCGATCGATGATTGCGGAAATAAACCCCCGAGCCTCGGACACGTAATTTGTTACGTAATTCCTGTCTAAATCACGACGCGTACTCTGTTCAATTTTTCATCGTCGAATATGAAACTTCAAATGCGCCGATTAAATTATATTAATTATAATTAATATACGTTTGGAAATCTCATTGACACTGTCACGATTAAAAGTTTCCAACCATCTTGAAAATTTGTCCAGAAGCAACAGAAATATTTACTAACGATCATTATGTTAATAGCTGTCTATAATGACTCTTCACATTTGAGACAGTTAAGATATTCATGTCTGGAAATTGCTTTCGCAATTTTATTGCATATTCAGATAGGTTTTATCACGACACACCCGTGTGTCTCCCGTATGCAATATTGATGAAAATGTTTCGGCAAATAATTCTATATTGTCAGATTGATGGGTTAGAAGACTTCCTGTTCTCCCAGAAGTTCTAGAATTAGAAGAGCACCACCTTGAACCATGGCGTCATCGTGACGCCAGTGTATTCCAATGTCCCCTTCTTATCTATCTAAATTAATTATTAATGTAGTGATTAACATTTTTTTCATCACCGTAGAGTACGTAATAGACTCGCTTTATATATATCATTTTTTTGCGATTATAGAAGAAACTCGGGAATAAATCTGTTTGTCTAATCTACAATGTCATCGAGCAATTGGATCTCATTGGCATTGAGAAAGTAGGCTTGAATAATGATTATCAAGATCATTCTGAATATGTATCGCCGTAAAATCAGGATCACGTGCATGTACGTCGATAAAGAAAATA